ACCACAGCCTAGTTTTGTTGCCCTGGGTACATCACTTAACAGAGAGCAGAGCACAGTTTCTTGTTGGCTTTAGGGTGTTTCCCACTTGAGCTTCATCAGGGGTTACTCACACGGAGAGGGCTGGCTGGTGGCAAGGCTGGGCCACCTTGCTCTGGGACCTGGGGTTGTGTCCACGGGAGCTTTTACCTTCTGCTGCCTCAGGCTTCTCCCACCTTTGCCTTCTTGCCTGGGAGGCTGCAGCGTTCCCCGCTGCTGTCCTGCTCAACCCAAATGACTTGGGGAGTGGGTGCCCAGGTGGGTGCGTGTGTGAGAGGTGACAGGCAGTGTGATTTGCATCTGGTGACATGGCACACAGTGAGCTGCAGTGAGCCCCAGCCTGCCAGGCAGAGGAGGGCTGCTGCCAGATCCCAAGCCAGAGCTGCTCCATCCATAAAAGAGGGAGAGCTGGGGCTCCCAGCTCCTGTTCCTGCTGCTCCCTCCTTGCTGCAGGACCTCCCGGGTGTTCCCTGGGTGTCTGTATCTGCTTGTGCAGGACGTGTGTGCTGAAGGAATTGAAATGCTGGCTTGGGAGCTGTGGACAGAGGTCTGGGGGCAGGAGGGGAGAGTGTGTAAAAGGGACCTGCTGACAGCCCTGTGTTTTTTGTTTCTTTGCAGACAAGCCCAATAGTTATTTTACTCAGACGCCGCCGACGCCGCGAGATGGTGAGTACAGCGTCGCTCGCTGGTTCCTGTGCTCAGGATGCGCTTGAGAGCAAATGGTTTGAGCCTCTTGTGCTTCCCACAGCTGCCGGTGGAGCAGCACTCCTGACCCAGTGATCTATTTTATGTCTGACTGGCTGCTCTCTGTGCTCTCTGCATCACGGGATGCAGGAGCGTGGTCCTCTGGGGCAAGGAGGGAGGTCTCCTTTCTTTCCCATCCTGATTTGGATCCCACAGGTTTCTGCTTCTGGACTGTCTTGACAATTCCCTCCCCACCTCCAAACTGTGACCTTGCCAGTCTTGAGGCAGCAAGGTGCTTTCCCCATCCTCTTCCAGAATTATTGGTCCTTCCCTGGCAGAGCAGGTGGGACAGCACCTGGGTTTCCTATGGATTTGTATTTTCCCTGGACCTGTGGCACTCACCTATGGATTATCTCCCACCTATTCCCTTGTGTCTGATGAGCAGTGTACTCACCACCACCTCACACCTTTTCTTTGGGCTTACTAAAGCCTTCTGGTTTCATAAACCTGTAGGAACTTTGGGTTTTGAGGCCATACTGTTATCAGTCAGTGGTTTTAAAAGCTGTTGGATGCAGGCAGGCAAGCACATGCTCAGATAATGTCATCACAGGAGCTTTGTTTTCTCAGAAAATCAGGCTTAAAATGCTCTGCTTTCTGCTGGCAGGCTGCTCAGTCGCCTTCCCCTGCCTCGTTTCACGTGCACAGATAAGAACCCACCAGAAAACAGCAGCCAATTAATAACACGTTTGTTTGTTTCTTTCTTTCTTTCTGTTTTTTTTTTTTTTTCCTTCTCTGATGGGGGTGGGGAAGGAGGCGGGGGAGAAACGGATGCTAGATAAAATGTGATTAATCTATAATTGGACCAGAGAAGACATCTAAAGCAAAAATAAAAACGAACGTAGGTGGAACTCCTAGCTTAGGGCTCCAAAATATTAGCAGCTCAGCCCATCCAGATGACATACTCCAAAAGATCTCTGGTCCCCACAGGAGATGGAAAACTACCACCCTTGGTGCTTTGCCAAATGAGGCACCTCCTTTTGCAAGTGAAATACGGTGCAAATGCCTCGTGTTGTCATTGGGAAGCGTTTCTGAGCAGTGAGGAGCACAGGGCGTGGGGAAGAGGTCCCTGCTAGGGTGAAGGGGTTGGTCCCTACTGCTTCTACTGTGCTGGAGAGACTGGAAGTGGAGATGTGGCTCTGGTCCTGTGTCCCCTGGCTTAGATGGGACCATGTTTGTACTTGTAAACTGCTGGGAGATGGCTGAGCTTTGCTGGCCGAGGGTTGTGGCTCTCCTGTCCTAGGCTTGCTCTCAGGGTGGCTTTGGTGGGACAAGGTGGTGTGCTGGTGAGAGCCATAGCCACTGTGTCCCAGCAGGAGAGTGTGACAGTGTCAGTGTCAAACACAGCAGGACCCCTTGATTGCTTCTTCTCTAGCTGGGCTCCTTGAGGATTGTCACTACTTTATCTTCTGGGCCTGATCCTCATCTCCTACAAGTCTGCACAGCTCTGTGGGGAGTGGTGGGTTGTCACCAGCTGACAGCCTGTGCCGTAAGCCACCAGATCCCTGCCCACTGGTACCAGCTGAGGATCTGCAACTTGGGATTTCTCTCTGGAAACTCTGCTCCTGGAAGGTTTGCTGTGGTCTTTTCTCCTTCCAAATGGTGATGCAAAGCTGGAGAGAAATTATTGTCTGCCCTGGCAATGTCAGACCTCAATTTTTTGTCTGAAGGAGGTGGGTTCCTGCATCTCAGGCATCTTTTCTGCAAAGACCCCATCCCACATTCACAGGAGGTGCTGCAGCCACGACAGCTCCGGTGATGCTGGAGGTGAAAGACTTTGCCAGGCAGCAGGGAGTGGTCTCTAATGCTGTTTAGCTCTTCCTTTTCTTCCAATACCAAGTTCTACCCTAGAAAACTCTTTAGCCACACATTGATTTATAGACTGGTCGCTGCTTCATTTCAAACCAGGCCATTAACGCTGTTAATTCACCGATTTCTCCCAAATCTCCCGCGCCGCTGGCATTCCCACAGCTGGGCAGGGGGTTGTTAAGCTCTGCAGAGTCTCAAGGCTTGGCTGTCTTAAACATCATGCTCCGTGGAGGCTCTTGCCTTTTCCCCAGCTGAGAGGATGCCCGTGGCATCCAAGCTGGCTAATTCTTCTCCTTTCTCATCAGCTGGGGAGTGTCTGCGGGGGGAGAGCTAGAGAGGGGGTGGCTGTTGACTCAGTTGTGTCCCCCCGGGGCAGGGGGTGCTCTGGAGGGGGGTTGGCAGGTGTGGTGCAGGGGACAGGCAGGGTGGGCTGTGTCTTGCCGCATCCCCTGGGGTGAAATAAATGGTGGGGGAGGATTTGGAAGGTACCTCCTCCCCTCTCCTTGTTCTTGCAGCGATCTGTGCCCAGAGGTTTGATTTCTGTTTGTTTGCAGCATCCCGTGGTGGAGTCGCGTGCGGGAGGCAAGGTTGGTTTTGTTGTTTGTTCTGGGGAGGGTGGGGAGAACAAGAAGCCCTCTCAGAGCTGTGAAGTGAGGTTGGCAAGAGCTGGGCTGGCTGCTCAGGTGGAGAATAAGATGAGGCACCAAGCTCTTGGGGTCAGCTTCTTGTCATCCTTCTCTGTCACTCTCCTCCCTGGGGTGCTCTGCTGGGATGTGGAAAGCCCTCTCCACTGGAGTCATTGTTAACAAGGACCAGTTTGGGTTTTTTGCTGGCCTCAGCAGCTTCTAGATCAAGCACAGGAGTGTGTCCTAATCTCAGAGCTACATCTGGCTTCAGCCTGTCTTGAGCAAGCAACCCTCATGGATAGGGATAGTCACGATAGCCCACCAGGGTGATGAGATCCAGCCCCTTTTGGTGGCTGCACCTTTGCAGATGTGTTAATGGCACCAACCAGCTGTGGGTCCTGTCTCTGCTGGGTTTGGAAACATCTGAGAAGGCTGAGAGGGCTGGACACCCCATTTCCTTTTGGCGAGTGTGGATAGAGTGATGCTGGCACAACCCGTTGCGCCAGGCCAAGGGAGCAGTGCTGAACACTTATTTATGGATGCATAAAAGCAGCAGTGATGCATGAGATGAGGACATCTGAGAAATTAAATATTGGAAAAATGCTTTCTTGTGGCTGGCAGCCCCATAAATACAGGGTTTGCAGAACTGGTCCAGGCATGGGGGTTAGGCAGGGAAAATGCTGGTGCAGGTGGCTCTTCAAGGCTGCGTAGGAAATGGGTTAGCGGATTAATCCAACAATGTTCTTAGTCCTGGGCATTGTCTTTCACCTGGTTGCTGGATGTCCTCTCTTCAACACCCTGTTATGGCTCTGCCTTGTCAGGTCCAGCTGCTTTTCCCACTCTAGATAGTGTCCTCTCTGCCATGGAGAGAGAGAGACAGCCAACTGCAGCGTTGGGAGAACTGGTTCCCCGTGTCCCTGCTGGTGGCCATCTCTGCCTTCATGGGATGTGAACGGTGCCATGTGTTACGGAGCATCTAATCTGTGCTGGGACGTGTTAGGAAATGCTCCCCACCTGTAGATGACTCGATGAGTTTGGGCAGACCAAGGGTTACCTTGGATGTGCTGAGGCAGCAAGAGAGCATGGAGGGTGCGTGCAAAAGGGACCATTCTGCTGGGGATGGCCGAGTGCTGTTGGGAAGTGGTGTTTCAGGATCTCTTTGCTCTCTTCCAGCTCTAGGTCTGTGTGTGTTGGCAGCTCCTGGGTGTGGGGAGAGGCTTTACCTGGCTGCTCAGGGCTGTGGTGCTCATCAGCTGTACGTGAGCAGCAGCCATGTATTGGAGCTCCTGATCTTTTCCTGCTGTTTGGTACTTCATCAGGAAAAGATTATAGAATTGTAGAATGTTGTGAGTTGGAAGGGACCCACAAGGATCATGGAGTCCAACTCCTGTCCCTGCACAGGACAATCCCAACATTCACACCATGTCCCTGAGGGCCTTGGCCAAATGCTGCTGGAATCTTGTCAGGCTTGGTGCCATGAGCACCTCCCTGGGGAGCCTGTTCCAGTGCTCCACCACCCTCTGCCTCAAGAACCTTTTCCTCATAGCCAGCCTGATGGACATTAGATGCTTCTTCCTTTGATTTGATCATTTTTAGTTAACATCCCATAGTTCTGATGAACAGCTTCCTCTGGCCAGTGACCTATTGGCATGGATGTAGCGAGGGGGAAATAATTGCCTTGGGCTTAGGAGTCATGTAAGGTGCTTGCCTCTCCCTGCCTGCCCTGCCTAGCTATGTGTGCTGCCCACACCCTCCCTGCAGCTCTAAAATTAAACCTTGCAGCGCATTGGTGGGGAGAAGGCTGGGGCTGGTCCACACCTTGGGAGATGTGTGTGCTGTCCGTACCATCCTCCTGCTGCCAAATTCATGCTGAGCTCTTCCTTCTCCAGTCCCTGTCAAAGAGAATACTGAGAGGCAGCCTTGAGCTTTCAGGTGGCTCTCTGGGCAGCTCTGCACTGGCTCAGGGGGACAGGGGAGGGGACACTTGGCTGCCCTGGGAAGAGAGCCATGAAAATAGAACTTAAAATAAACCAACCACAAGCTCTTCAATTTTGTTCCCATTGTGCATGGCTGTACTGGAACACCCTGCTGGCTTTGGCTGCTAATCCCAGCCTGGTTCTCTTTTGACACAAGCCAATATAAGACTTGGATGCCTCAAAATGAATTCCTAGCGCAGGCTCCGTGGCGGGGCTGATCTCAGTTTGTGGAACGGGAAGGTGTTGCAAGCTTGTCTTTTTTTGTCTACCCACAGATGCATTTTGCAGCCCTTGGTCTTTTCTGACCACCCCACGCTCTCTTCCTTTCACACCCGTGCTTTTCCCAGCCCCAACCATCTCCCGCATGTGTGGTTTGAAATGTCAGGAGCTGACTTGCAGTAGCAAGAGCAGGGAAAGTGATCTGCTCCAGCACTAATCCATCTCGCTCCGTCTTCAGGCCGTGGTACCCACCCGTGTCAGCACACTGGTGGACAGTGGGGCTTATGTTGAGCCT